CTCTCAACCCTTAGGCCACCTCCTGGATGCTCCCTTGAAGTCTTGGCTGGAGCTCAGCTTCTGCTCTGACCGCCAGTGAGTCCTAGTTGGCCCAGTTTTGAGGCTTCAGTCCTGAGCATCCCCATTCCTATAGATCAGAAGCAGAGCTACCCAGTGGCTACAAGGGTCCTAGACATAGCTGGTTGGTGCTCATCTGAAGGGCTAGAGCCTTGGGCCACTCCTTAGTGGGGAGCAGGAAGTTGCTCTAGCATCCATAGCTTCCATGTGAGGTTGATCTCTGAAGTAATGGGGAAGTGGAAAGGATGGGGTGGCTAGTATCTTCTCCAGGTTACAGTCCTGGCAAGAGACATTCTATTCCAGTTAAAGGGCACGGATTCCTGCAGGTGGAAATTCACAACTCTCCTGGAGAAGCAGTCCTTGGATCCCTCAGGACAAGGAACACTTTGCCCACCTTGCCACACCCACCCAAACCTGGGGGCAGGACTGGCTGAGGGGCTCCTGGCCCTGTGCCCACACCTGCTGCCTCTCAAGCAATCAGAACTGAAAGAAGTTTTGGTCTTGTCATGCCACCCTTGAAATGCAAATCTAGGGCAGAGGGGAATGGTATCACGTGGTCCCGGGAAATGAGGAGGCTCCCAGCTGCACCAGAGCAGCTGAAGAGGACTTGCATCTTGGGTACAAAGAATCAGAGGAAAGCTGGGATCAAAGGGGATACAGACTGTGCATGTTCTGAGGGCTGAGGGCTGGACATGGGGCTTTACTCACTCCTGAACCTTTTAACTTCAGAGACTCTCTTCTACTCACTACCCCCACCCAACCAGCTGCGTTTCAGAGACTTCCTCAAATTCACAGAGGCACCAGGTCACACCTGCTGCTCCTCTGCTCTCTGTACAGGGAGAGACCTAGACACACAATGGCCTATTGGTTTTCTATTGCTGCAGTAACAAATTATCACAAACTTCTTGTTTTTTATACCATTGAGTTGGTTCTGACTCATAGCAACCCTGTATAGGATTCCAATGAGCGGCTGATGAATTTGAACCACTAACCACAAATTTGGGGGGCTTAAAAATGCACAAATGTATTATCTCACACTTCTATAGGTCAGAAGTCTAACACAAGACTTGTTAAATGCTGTTGAGTCAGTTCCGACTCATAGTAACTCAGTGTAGGGTTTCTGAAGAGCAGCTGGTGTTTTTGAGCCACCGACCTTGTGGTTCAAACCAACCTTGTGGTCCACTGCTGTATCCCACAGCACCACACCAGGACTCCCAACACAAGGCTTATTGGGTTAAAATGAAAAGTACCAGTAGGGCTGTGCTCTCTCTGGAAGCTCCAGACCAGTTTCTTGTCTTTGCTGACTTCTAGAGGCTGCCCACATTCCGTGACTGCTAGCCCCTTCTCCCTCTTCAAAGCCAGCAATGGCTCATTTCTATGACCTTTCTTCATGTCTAATTATAGTCAAGGACAGTTCTCTACTCTTAAGGATGTGTGCTTAGACTGAGCTCTGAGTAATCCAGAAAAATCTCGTTCATGTTATTAACCTATAAAGTAGCATGCTTGCTGGGGTTGGGGATTAGGACATGGACATCAAGTCAGTTCCAACTCATAGTGACCCTTCATAGGGTTTCCAAGGTGGCCATCTTTGTTGCTGTTGTTGTGAAGTGCTGGCGAGTTGATTCCAACCCTATATAACGACCCTGTATAGGGTTTCCAAGGAGCAGCTGGTGATTCTGCCTACCACATGTGGAGTTTGGCTAGGGACAACCCTGGTTCAGAGACAAGACATTAGAGGGGCAGGAAGCAGGCTTGTGGGGTCCCTCTCCTCTTCGGGGCCAGGTGGTAGGTATGTGAGATACCCAATGGCTGGATAAGACTCCAGAACCCACCAGGACTGTGAAATCCAAGCTGGAAGCCTACCCAGGAACCAGGTCCCGACCCAGGAACACCCACGCTCCTTGCTCAGTTTAGACTCAGAGCTCCCCCTGCCCACATCCTTGTCCTAAGCTGCAGAAATCCCTCCACCAGCTCCTTTATCTCAGAAGCTTTTCACCTGGGCTCCTATCAGACTGAGCAGCAAATACGATATCACCACAGGAGGGGTCTCTGGAGGTGTGGGCATTTTTTCTCTTTATCCCATGATTTCCTGTCCCCCTTATCAGGAGGTGGGACAAGGAGCCTGTAGTTTGAAGGCAGTCCCCTAAACTGTGAGTCTTGGGCTAAAGCAGATGGGGATGTGGATGACAGGAATGAGGGTCAGTTCCCTAGCTTCACACAAACAAATCTACACCTACTCCCTGTGGTTCTGATAACTTCTTGTGTGTAGGAAGGGGCTGATTTGGCCAAGCACCTGGCAAGCCCTAAGTTAACACTGGTCTGCTCTTCTCCTGACCCCAGAGGCCCTGTTCCTCAGCACCTGGAGGCTGCTGAGCAGCCGGATACTGAAGTAGGAAGCAATGTCCACACTTGGGCATGGACACAGCAGTATTTGAACTTGTTTACCCTGACTCCAGCTGGAGCCAATGGCAGGTACCGAGAATGGAACTGACAGGGTGCTTACCAAACCCAAACTAAACTCACTCAAAATGAGTGTATTCTGACTCAGAGTGATCCTATCTGACAGCATAGAACTCGTCCTTAGGGTTTCCAAGACTGTAAATAATACAGGAGCAGACAGCCTCGTCTTCTTCCCATGGAGGGACTGGTGGGTTTGAATCACCTTTTGGTTAGCAGTTCAATATTTTTTTTTTTTAAAGGTTTTTATTGTGGATTGAGTGAAAGTTTACAGGGCCCATCATCAGTTTCACATTCAACCATTCATATAACTTGTTTCATTACATTGATTATAATCCCCTCCATATATCACCAAATAACAGTGTTTCTATCTATCCGCTTCAGCTTTTTTTTTTTTTTGGGGGGGGGGTAGGGAGGGGAACTTGCCTTTTTGGAATTTACTGAATAATCAGATGAGGGACAGTTTGCTATGTCTGCTAGTCTGCTAGGTGGCTGAAGTCTGCCTCAGAGCCTATGGTTTGGACGGTCAGCAACGCTTGGGCCCACAGGGCCTTGAACTCCCGACTGGGTCTGCACGGTCTGCATCAGATTCCCCTTATTTATTATTTGTTTAAGGGACGCTGCCTGTCTTAGGCGGTCAGTGCGAATTCCTCAGTCTTACCCGTCATCAAAACTCATTGCAGCATGGCAATGGCTCTGTCTTAGGTTGCCGAGGTTCCACGTGATCCTTACCCGTCTCTGGCCACAAGTCCAACATAAACAGCCGCCATCCGAAGAAGGCAGGGAGGGAGGAGACCGGCTGGGGACCCCATACGCAAGACGTTGCCAGACCACCACCGGCTCTAAGGTGACCAAGCAGGATCACTATGCTGAGGTTCAATCAAGTTCTTAGGGGATCTTGATCTCTAGCAGGAGTAGCAAATTAGTAGCCACTCAGTGGTCAACTTGAGAATTACTTATATCAGAAATTTGAGCATGTAGCTGATGAATATCCACAGACAAGTGGATATTATTCCACAACCTCCTAAAATGTTGTTGAATTAAGTTCCAATCAAGTTCTGGATTAAGCAGTTCAATATTTAATCCACTGTGCCACCAGGGCTCCTTTCAGAGCTCTTAAGGAGGGGTGGAAAATAGCTGTCATCCTGGGGGCCCAGGAGCTCCCCTGCTCCTCTCCTATCCTCCCAAAGAGAAGTACCAGAGGGAGAGGGTGCCCCTACGAAGACTTTTGGGTCTTTGATGTGGTCCTCTTCCTGGTGAGCACTAAGTTGTACAAGGGGCCCCAGACTCCATGGACTTTTGGTTCCTTCCCCAGCAGGCTCCACGCAGACAAGGCCCATTGGCTTAGACTTCAGGTCTGGTTGAGACCAAGCATAGACCAGTGCCGGGCCCTGCAAGTTCCTGACAGGCTCCAGTCCCACCAGTACCACACCAGCACCAAGTCTGAGCCCATCTGTGTGGTCTGAGCCCCTCTCGCCCTCTTCTCCAGGTTCCTTCACCCCTTCTCCTGACCTCTGCCTTCTCCCCTGCCCCTGTGCTCATTATCCTTCACACTTGGCATCCCTCAACTCCTCCCACCAAGCGCTCCCAGACCCACAAGGCTTAGCCTTGATTCCACTGGCTCGTCTTGCTACTGCTACCAAGCTAGGCCCTTGGGCACGAATCAGTCCTCTATCACCCCCATCTTGTCTAAAGCTGCTCCCTTAACTGTCCCTGCAGAGCCTGCTTACCCCTCTCAAACATGTCTCTGCTTGCCTGCCCCAGCCCTGCCAGCAGCACACAGGGCACCAAGTAACTACTGTCCATGAGCTATCAATTTGCTCATGCCTGATAGCCTCGTTTAGGGCCAGCCTCACAGAAACTACTGCACCCAGAATTCTCCTGGTGACAGTCATCCCTGCCCCCTTCTGAGCTAATGAGCCAGCTCAGGCCTGGCCTGTTGGAAGGGCAGTTCGTGCAGCCCTTCTAGACTCACGTCCGTCTGCCTGACAGGAAGAGGACAGGCAGGGCAACTCACAGACACCAGGCAGGTTGAATGTCAGATTCACTTTACTGGGCCCCTCGGCCTTCCAATGTGGTCCTCACGGAGCCTGGGAACTCCCTTCCCAGCACCTCCAGCTGCATAGGAAGTGGGTGGGTCAAGAAAGTACATGTGGAACTGTTCGTTTTCCTACTCCAAAAGGTCCTGGATGATGTGGGGACAGATACTTGCCTCCCTGCCTGCAGACTCTCTCCCACCCCCCAACAACTAGGTCCCCTCCAGGGCAGAGGGGGAGGGGATTCTTGGGTCATTAGCACAGGAAGCTGGGCTACAAACCAGCCACTTATATGCAAAACTCCACCAGGGCCAGTGGTCCCGTAGAAAGACTTGAAGCCTGGGAAGGGGCTAGTGGACCCCAGGATCTGGGAGCTTGCTGAGGACTCGCTGGAAGCTCAAAGTTGGAAGTGGTAGGGGACACTAGATGGCCATCTGGGGAGGGGTGGTACCCAGCCACTGTCACCAGTCCCGCTCAGCAGGTTCTCGATAGGGGAGGCCCAGGAGCCTGAAGACATCCTTCTCCGATGGGGTGGGCAGCACCCGGCCAGGCCCTACCTTGAAGCCCTGAGTGTTCCGGATCACGGCTGTGCTGAGCGCATGCTCTGATAAGCTCATGCCCTTGGTCTTGGCCAGTGCCCGCATGGAGCGGTTGAAGTGGGCAGAGCCGGTGAAGTAGAGAAGAGCACAGGCAAACTCATCATAGGGCACGATGATGATGTCCAGCCGCCGGTGCCGCCGTCTGGGTCCTGGGAGCCGGCACACGCCCAAATACTTCTGCTGCTGGCCATTTTTCTCCTGACTCACCAAGTCATCTGTCAGGAACCCTACATAGCACAGGGGGCTGCTGGGAGGGCAGGGGAGCAGGCCCTCAGCTGTCCTGTCCTCCCAGGTCACCCCTAATCATCCCTGGCTTCTCTCTCCCCAGCTCACCCACTGATTTGCTGGATGACTGGCCTCCTCTGTGTAAAACACAAATGGTAATTCCTCCCCAGCCCGCAAAGGGTGGCACGTTAGCGTTGACTACTGCTCAGTCGTGTGGAAGTAGCTTTGGCCTTGTTATGAAGCACCCTCCCCTGCTGCCGGAGCCGCCCAGTCCTGCCCTGCCAGTATCAACCTGTCCAGCCAAGATACATACCTCTTTGCCGGAGGCTGTCAAGGAGGTGACTGAAGATGCCCTGGTGGGACCAGCCATCTGGGTGAGTGACTAGCACATCCACATCACCACAGGTGGCCTTCCCCCGTCGGTAGGAACCACATGCCACACACAGCAGCCCGGGGTTGAGGGCTAGGGCCGATTCCTGGACCTGGGGAAGAGTAGCAAAGAGCTCGTGAACTTCACGCCCTGTAAGGGACTCCTCTCTAGAGGCAGCAAGAGGACCTACCCTGACCCAGGGCCCATCCCTGCATATAGATACCAGGCTGAGGGAATAAGCTCCAGGGAAAGAGGCCAGAACATCTGCCCTGAAGAGCAGCTTTCTCTAGCTTCACTAGGACAGAAAAGGAAGAAAAGTGAGGACCCCACAGGAGGAAGGCCTGAGGGGAGAAAGTTCCTCAATTTTGAGGTAGGGCACAGATCTTTCACTGCCAGTGAAATTCCACTCAGGACAAGGGGGTGGGCACCAGGACACCACAGCCCCAGGTATCTATGGGTGTGGAGCTGGAGGAAGAAGGTGTAAGTGGGCTTGAGGCCTGAGCAGGTGGCAGGCAGGGTGTCCTGGGCCCAAGCCTGGGGAAATGCAGCAGACACCTAACTGCACCTGTGTAAAAGGAATGAAAACAAGCAAAGCAAGCCACCACAGAGGGCCACTGCTCACATCTTGACTTGGAAGACTCTAGGGAGAGGAAATAAGAGGCTAACAGAGTTGTCAGTTCAGGGGTGATAAGCCCATTAGCCTCTACCCTAGAGACACTGAGGTCTTTCATATGCAGGTGGTCACTCTGCCTCTGCCCCAGACACTAAGATTCCTGGGGCCCTGGATGCCCACTGCCAGGACACCTCAATTCTCCTGACATGGGGATTCTGCTAATCCCTTCACTCATGTCTAGAGCCTCCCAAGAGAAAACTCCTAAACCTGGAGCCCTGACATGCAGGAGGTCAGGTGGGAAGCCACTCTATTCTAATGGGCTGGGGGCTGGCTGGGGCATTCTCTGTGACTGGAAACCATGGCTGAGTGACAGTGACGTGGTATCATCACTAACACCAAGGCTGAGCATCTATCCTGCATCAGCCTCAGCCCTGTACCATCTGATTTCAACTGAACAGAACCATCCAAATCCTAGACCTGAGTGAGCAAGCTTACCTGTAGCATCCAGCCCCTAACCTGAAGCCAGTGGAGCTGCCAGCACAGTCAGTGCCAAATGTCTCCCAGCCTCCCTCAAATCTAGCTTTCACCTGAGCTGGAGTCCTGGTGTGGCGCTGTAGGATAAGCACTGGACTACTAACCACAAGGTTGGCAATTCAAATCCACTAGCTGCTCTTCCAAAACCCTATACAGGGTTGCTATAAGTCCAAACCAACTTGACAGCACTTAACAATAATAGCATGTCCTAGTGTGGTACCATAGGATAAGCAGGGGCCTGCTAACTGCAAGGTAGATGGTTCAAATCCATCAGCTGCTTCTTGGAAACCTTATACAGGGTTGCCATGAGTTGAAATTAACTAGATGGCACTTAACGACAATTATCAAATCCTTAACCCAACTCCAAATAAGATCCAAATCTTGGCCAAACCTTATTTCTAAGACAACCACAAATTTTAAATCAAAAGCAACCAATGCTAATAAAGCCTTCATCCTAATTTGGGACTAATCTTAATGTAATCATTGATCTAGCTCCAAACCTAACTCTATGGAAGTATAGGCATTTAGCGCTGGGAGGGCTTCCTCCTGGAAAGAGAACTGAACCTTCACCTACTTGTGTATTCTTGGCAGGAAAGAGTCCATCGAATTCACTAAGTTTTCTAAGGAACTTGTGACCCAAAACAAAATTCAGAGCCTCTGTCCTAGTCGATCCTAATATAGCTTGTTGTTGTTTTTGTTAAGTGCCATCTAGTCAATTCCGACCCATAGTGACCCTGTATAGGGTTTCCAAGGAGTAGTTGGTGAGCTTGAACCACTGACATTGCAGTTGAAACAACTTTGTGGTCTGACGCATTAGCCCACAACGCCATTAGTCCCAAATACCCTCAAGCAATTCTGAGCAAAATCTGCGTCCAATCTTGTCCTAATAACCCAATCGGAACAACTATGCTTACCATCTAACCCAATCCTAACTCTGCTGACTCTAGAGAACCCTAATCCAGAGAAAGCAGGTGTTACAACTGCCCTCCGGAAGTTGCCCACCTCCTCCTTGCTCTTTCCCCACTGGTCCCAGCCTCTGTTGACCCACAGCCTCTTCTGCCTGCTGGGCTCCTCAGCTGAGGCATCCAGGGTTTTTGGCTTCAAGCCAGGTCCTGACTTTCTAGCAGAGCCTGGTTTTCCTCTCTGTGCTGGGATGCCTGCTTACTATTTGCTGGATCTCTGTTGCCTCCTCCCTGGGAATGCGTTCCAGGAAATCATCATAATGCTTCAGGCCGATGGCCTGTTGGGTGGTCAGGGAAGCCTGGCTGCGGATGTCTTCCAGGCTCCGGAAGCCCTGGAGAAAGAAGCCAGATGGGGAGGCTCTGAGCATTCAAGACCAATGATGAGGCAGGGAGTGAACACATACACAGAGGCTTCCTTTCTACACCCCCTATACCCCCGGTCCGGACACACATACACATATCCAACTCCAAGGAAGGCCCAAAGCAGGACCAGTCCCAGCAGGAGCCTGGTTTGTAATCAGTGTGACTTTGGAAGGGCAGGAGGCATTGAAGACAGGCTACAGTCCTAAAATACTGGCTCACAGGCTTCATCTTAGCTTGAGTCCTTCTGTCAGGGCCTGGGCCTCCCATTGTTATCAGACTCCCAGATGACTCTGAGCTAGGTTTGGGAGCCACTGCTGTGGCCACGCAACCCCAGCCCAGTCTCTTCAGGGGGGCTGAGAAACCTACACCACAGATTGATGCTTCAAGGATACCAAAAAAAGGGCTATTCTGGGAATCAGGAGGCGTCTCTATGAACACTGATACCATTTGAACCAGAGGTTGGCAGTTCAAGCTCACCAGCCGCTCCTCGGAAACCCCTATAAAAGGGTCTCTTTGAGTCAGAACTGATTCAAAGGCACTTAACAATAACAACAACCCTTGAAAAGTGGTCTTCCTATCATTGGGCTGTTGCCATCAGAACACAGGTGTAGGGACGCTGGGACAGGGGCTCTATGACACAGGAAACTGAAGTTGAAGCTAGGCTGGCGTGTGACCTGCTGGTACCACATGTGGGCGGTCTTGGTTCCTGCTCCCCAGATGTTGGAGAAGAGCTCTAAGACAGGCACGTTCTCGCTGATATGGTCCAGCTTCCGCAGATGCCCACTCTCCAGGATCTCTACCACCTTCTCAGCCATGCGCTTCCCAATCCCTGGGATATTGCAGGCCTCCTAGAGAAGTGGACCAAGGCAAGAAAGAAGAATGAGAAGACAGGAGATGCAGAGCCAGCAGGCTGGAAGTTCCCTTCTTTAGCAGAAGTCTACAAAAAGGCCAGCCTGGCTGGTTGGCGATTGCATGGCATGTTAATTTGGGACCCAGTTTAAGAAGTAGATTTTGGATTGAATGGGGGCTGGGTAATCTGTCTCTTGATTCCCAGAGGAATGGAGGCCAGCAATAGGCAATGGAGAAATGATGGTTCCAGTAGTGACTGTCATCATCACATCAACCGCTGACATTTATTGAGGGTTGAGAGGATGGCATAGGACCAGGCAGTGTTTCATCCTGTTGTGCACAGGGTCACTATGAGTCAGAGCTGACTTGACAACACTTATCAACAACAACTGTGCATCAGTCCTGTACTAAAGTGCTTTACAGAGATCCTCTCATTTAAGCCTCATAACCTTACTATGAATTAGCTCCTATTCCTAGGCCCTTATTACTAATGAGGTAACTGATGTTCAAATTGCCTAAAGTCACACAGCTAGTGGATGAAGATAAGCAAAATTCAAATCCAGGCTTGGTGGCTTCCAGAGTCTAAACACATAGTATAACAAACCCCCAAGGACCTATCACCCAGATTCAACGTTTATCAAGATTTTGCCAATCTGCTTTCATCAATCTTTTTTTTCTTTTGTGCAAATACCAGACATACAATGTGAACCACTACACCTGACTGATCCCCACTTGTGACTGTTGCTGCCACCAAGCCCTGATCAGTAAAGAGAAGACCCTTAATCTTGCTCTTGTCCTAGGTACCTGGTAAGAGGTGACAGGCTTATGGAAGCTCTTCAGGGCACTGATGGCCCTGGCATAACCCAGGGCCCTCCACTTGTCTCCTTGAACACTGTAGGCTTTGGCCAGCACTTCCAACTTCTCTGTGATGTGGGGGTTGTGGTTGACCGCCTTCTGGCTTGAAGGCTGTGCACAGACCCATTTACCCAGGGCCTCAGGGACTGGACTGGGCTCACCATCTTCCTCCAGGGGAAAGGGGTAGCGGCCACTGATCAGGGCTTCCAGATCGGCTTTGCTAACCTGGGTCTCTTCTCCATCACTGGTTTCATCATCAGTGCCGGGCTTGAGATAGGAAAGAAGCGACAATAATAAAGAGGACTCCTTGGAGGTAGGGGTTGAATCTCCTAGTAATAATGAGGCTAGGCCTTCTGGATCACATCTGAGTGTGGGGCTAGATTCTACTTGGCATCCCCCAGTGTCCAGCCCCAGGATCCCCATGGTATGTGGTGGATGTGGACTGACGATAGAGGAGGGATAAATGTTCACAGTAGAGCGAGCCTTCCTCTCTCAGACTTTGTAAACCATCACCAAGTCATCCTTTAAATAATTTGGTTGCTGGTGAGGAGGGAGCCATGGAGGCTGGGAAGTTCCTGACCTGGGCTTGGGTACTTGGTGCCTCTTCTGCCTTCTGGAAAAGAGATCTAGGTCTGGTGGAAGGAGGAGAGAGGACTGTCTCGAGCTGAGCCTCACGGGAACCAGGATGAGCAGAAGAATCTTGGTTGGCTTTGCTGAGCTGTGGTTGGTCCAGGTACCTAGGGGAATGGTGATGAGAGGTCTTATCTTACCTCTGCCCCCATCCTTCTCTCTGACATCTTGACTTCCCAATGTCTCCAATCAAGACAGTAAGAGTTATTTTTTTAAATCCCAGAGCTCAAAATGTTGCCAGAAAATATCTGAAGAAAGGCTGGGACCAGCCCACCTGTTGGGGATGAATATGCTGAATCCTGCTGTGTCCACCAGCCTTTTCTCCTGAAGGCACAAGCTCAGCCAGGCTGACTTTACCAGTTGGGCACCTGGGGGCAGCCAGGATAGTTTAAGGAGACGAAGAGCCCGTTCACAGTCCATGTCTTCATCCACCACAATGTGAGTGACCCCTGGGGCCTGGGCAGGGCATATCTGGCCACCATGCTGGACAATCTGCTTCTCAAAGAGTTCGGCCCGGGCTCGCCCAATGCCAGTGGGCACAACATGAGCCCGCAGGGATCTCAGCCACTCTGTGGAGGGGACATTCAGATGCCTATTGGCATGACTTTCAGACATGATTTGAATAAACCCTTTTACAGTCCCCTCTCCTTCAAGCAGTCATTTCTCCTCTCTTGTAGACAGTCTGCCTTCTGAACATCTTAGCTCAAGTAGAAAGCACAGTTCTCCTGGACCATTACTTTCCTATAAGGACCTAGTACGGAGAACAGTGCTTGTCAGAATGTAGGTTCCCTATAAATGAATGGATGAATGCCTCTTTTCTCCCTCCTTTGAAGTGCAACTCAAACACCTCATTTTGATCATTTCCTCCTATCAGTGTGCACAAGGCTGGCATGTTTCTTGTCTTTATAGACTCAGTCTCCAGACCTTCTCCATTCCCCCAGGTCCTATGAAAGCCTTTGTCATCTACTTGTCAATTTGGTTGCAAAACAATTTATAACCCTAAGATCTAAGTACGATTTCTGTCCTGGCCCTTCTAAGGTTGCCTCCTGGAGGGCAAAGTTGGCCATTTCCTGAGAAACCAAGGAGTATTTTCTGATTGATGAAGGTCTGGGGCTGGGATGGAAGATAGCACAGCAAGTGGCCTGTCAAAGACATAGGACCAAGCATCGCGCAAGGCAGGTACAAACAGATTCACAGGCCCTGAGCAGACCAAGTCAGCCCCATACCTGATTCTGGATATGGTTATAATGTAGGTTAAAAGAAAGGTTGAGATCTCAAGCACATGAGAGGTCTGAGAGTGGGTCAGCTCACCGCCTGCTTCTTCTCCATCTTGCTTTGAAATCTTTGCAAATGCTTTCGATGATGGATTGGCATGAATTTTCTTGCGCTTGGGAAATGCCTTCAGGATGCCCCTGGAGTCCATGGAAGTAAGGCTGGGTCTTGGCTTCTCTGTCTGAGGGTTAATCTTGGGCAGCTGCTATGTGGAAGGAAATACTGAATTGACATTACCCAAGTCCTCTCCCTACAGAAATGGGGGTCTCTACTGACCAGTTCAGTCTCCAGCGGTTTCCCAAAACCCAGTTGAACCTCAGTGGTTTGGCCTGGCTCCACACTCACAAAGTCAGAGTATGTGGGCAGGGGGAGTAAGATAAGATTGGGACTAGTGGAGGGCTTTTGAGGGGTTGTTCTACAGATTCAGTGCACCATTTCCAAAAGGTTTTCCCCAAAGGGGATGTTAGGCTGAAAAATGGAACCTGTCTTTAGGAAGGACTTGGGGTCTCAAGATGTGGAGACTGGAGGAAGCCTGCACATAAACCACACACACTTTTTTTCTACCTCTGACACAGACCCACAGAGGAAAATTTGGGGGGAAGAGGTTTTGGGGTTAAGGGAACACCCTGCACCTGCCCTGGTCCCGGGAGCTCTAGCCTCTCGGCAGCGTGGGGTGCTCAGCGGCACAGCTGCGAGGAGGTGAGGCACGCCTGGAGCAGGTGTGGGGCGTCCTCCGTGATTGGGGGAGTCTCGGTCTCACAGCTGGGTGTGGAGAAGACCCCAGCAGGTGTTGTGTACTCGCCGTGTGCGCAGCTGGCACGGGCCAGGACTCACAGCTGGAGGCCAGAAGAGGACTAGAGAGTCCCAACTCTTCCCCGAGAGCCCCTCCCTCCCTGGATTCGGCTCCCTGGTAACCCCGGGGAGGGCGGGAGTGAAAAGTCTTACCGGAAGGCCAATTAGAGTGGACGAAGTGAATAAGGGCGGGGGGTAGGGAAGGGCAACTGCCAAGAACACCTTCCGGGTCAGCCGGAAGTGACCCTCGACGGAGCGGTTACTATGGTATCGGTCGGGCGCGCAGCGGGGCCGAGGGAAGATGGCGGTGAAGGGCTGGTTGGAGAGTCTGCGGGCTGCCGAGAAGACGGCGTTGCTGCAGGACGGTAACTTGAGGTCCCCCGAGAACCCTCGTCCTTTCCTTCAGGGTCGGGCCCTCCGCCCAGGAGCCTCTGGAAAGGGCGTCAAACCTTGGGATGCCATAGTCAGGCATAGCGCCGCGATAGTCAGACGGTCCAGGTCCCTCATTTTCAGATGAGTAAACTGAGGCCCAGAGAGGTGACGTGACTGGACCACACGTCTGTGGGCACCCCTAGTTTCCCCGACACCACCTCGCCTTGCTCTGAGTTCTGTTGCTGAAGGCGGCCTGGTGTCCTGGGTTCTAGCTCTGGTTCCACCATTCATTTATCAGGAGCTCCTTCCTCAGCTGGCTCCTTTACTTGTTTGAACCTCACTTTTCTCATCTGTAAAGAAGGTGAGTGGGCGGGCCACCTCTGTTATCTCTGAGGACCTTGCCAGCTGTAATGTTTATAAGTGACCCGGAAATGTTCTTGGGACTTTAGTAGTGGAGATAGGTCCAGAAACTGTGCCTGGAAAAGGTGGGCACAAGGGTATGGAGTCTTGACTTTCTCTCACCCTAAGACTGGCAAGTATAGGATCTCTTGGGCCTCCGGGACCCATTGATGATTTAGCAGCCAGAATGAAATAGGTGTCAATTTCTACAGTTCTTAGGATACCAGCTAGGAATATGTCCACAAGCAGAGGTCAGTCAGGGGAACTTGGAGTTTGTAAAAATTAAATTAGCTGCTCCTTTGCTCATTCATTTCATGAAACATTTAGGGAGGTTTTACTCCACGGAGTCCTGGTGTGGTGCTGTAGGATAAGTCCTGGGGTACTATCCAAAAGGTCTGTGGTTATCCTGGGGAACTAACCAAAAGGTCGGTGGTTCAAACCCACCAGCCACTCCTCGGAAATTCATACAGAATCACTATGAATTGGAACTTAACAACACATAGTTACAGCAACAAGCTCTGTACTAGGGCAGATAGACAGACATGTCATAGGTATTCACATTGTGGTCAAGTCAAGGAAAAAGACATGTAACAAAACATTGTGTGTTAAATAGAGGTATAAAATGCAAAGAGAGCACAAAGGTAGAAATAATGGTTTCTTTGGGAAAAGAGCTAACAGAAAAAGTGGCATTTAGGTCCTAAAGAGTTCATTGTTGCTAAGTGCCAAGGAGCGACACTGCGTAGGCTTTCCACAGAGCAGCTGGTGGGTTTGAACCTCGACCTCTCCATTAGCAGTCCAGGGCTTTTAATAGTGTTTGCTAATGAGAAGGTGAGATGGCTATACCAGGAAGAATGAATCCTACATGAAGACATGGGTGTGAAAATATATAACTTATTACTAGGAAAAAAGATTTGGGAGGCCAGAGGTGTCGCCCACTCAGTCATAACAAACCTTCATCAAGCACTGACATCCTGTCAGACACTATGCTAGGTGCTAAGATACAAAGGTGAGTCAGAGGGTCCCTTTTCTCAAGGAGCAATAAGGGAAATGGTGGGAGATGAAGAGAGATTGCAGATAATCAGGGCATATTGTGATAAATGGTGTGGTACTGTGAGCTAATGCGTCAGACTGCAAAGTCGTTTGAACTGCACGGTCGGTGGTTCAAGCTCACCAGCTGCTCCTTGGAAGCCCTATAAAGGGTTGCTATAGGTCTGAATTACTCAACAGCATGTAACAACAACCATGACACTGTCTCGCATGACACTGTCTTGCATCAACCAAGAAGACGTCAATTTGGTTTTTGTAGTATCACGAAGCAATGTTTTGGTTTTTTTTCCAAACCAAAAAACAATACAGAACAGAATAATATGCAAATATGCCTTTTCAATCTTCCCCTGTAGATTTACCTTCTTAGGTTGTGTGTGGACTCCTGGTGTGGTGCTGTGGCAGTTCAAACCCACCAGCTGCTCCTTGGAAACCCTGTACAGGGTCACTATGAGTTGGAACCAACTCGACAGCTTGTAACAGCAACAGGTTGTGTGTACATATGGGAGCATGCCACCTGCCTCTCACCCAAAATCTGTTATTCATAATTATATTGTTGTTGTTAAGTACTGTCAAGTTGGTTCCAACTCAGAGCAACCCAGTATAGGGTTTTCAAGGCTTTAAATCTTTGCTGAATCAGAAAGCGTCATCTTTTTCCTATGGAGTGGCTAGTGAGCTCAAACTGCCGACCTTGTGGTTCGCAGTTCAGTGCTTATCCCATGAAGCCACCATGCTCCCTTATTCACTGTGACATATTAAAAATAATTTTAAAAAGTTACCCATAGACCCTATCCAGAGAAGGAGCGACACCAAAAATGGAGGCAGAGATGACATGGAGAGATAGAGCAGTTGAAGACTCTAGACTCAATGGAAAGAGAAAGGCTGTGTGCTGACAGCCAGGAAGCAGGCTTGCAGAATGTGCCCTTTGGTTGTTTAAATGATTATATATTCCTGAGTGTTTTTGTGTACATCCCCCCAAATAAAACAAACAGGGAATAGAAGCACATACTGTTGAATGATGATGAATGGAGGGCATTGTAATAATTGCAATGAAATGATGAGTGTAAAACCAATCTTCTCCCATGTAAACTATCACTCAATTTGCAATAAAAACTTAAAAAATAAGACAAAAAACCCAGCTCAGATGTTAATTCCTGCAGAAGACTTTCTTTAAACCAACTTCCCTCCATGACAGGAACAATCTAATCCTCCCTTTACTTTTTTCTTTTAATGTTTTATTGTGAATTATGTGATAGTTTACATGGAAGAACATTAGTTTTACATTCATCCTATCGTATATTGTTTCATTGCCATGGTTACAATCCCCTTGATGCATCATCAGCCAACCAAAGGGTATACGCTACAAGCTTGCCTCCTCCCTCCCCCCCCACCCCCTCTGGGTCTAAAGTCCCCAGCTGCTCCATCTCTCCACGTCATCGTCTCTGCCTCCATCTCAGGCATCACTGTTTCTCTGGGTAGGGTCCCACTCTCCGCTCTTCTCCCTTGATGGTCCCAGGGACCTCTGCTCCTAGACTACAAAGTTAATCACTCCCCTCCTTGCTACAAAAGGTCTACCTTTACATTTCCAATCCTTACAATCAGTCCTAATAACAATTATTCACTATTGTATCACAAAAGACCTATCCATGTTTCATTTCATCAGCCCCGCCTAGACATTGGATACTACTTAGTAGAGATTCTACCTTCCTCCATGCCCTCTGGATTTAGGTTCCCTCTTGAAAGCTTGTAAGCAAGTCACTTCTTGCCTTTGTAGCCCCCCCCCCCCTTTTGGGTAGCCAATGTCCAAGTTGCCCATCCCTGTCTACTCTGTGTATGGAGCGGGTGGGAATGATCCTTGCTACTGCATCCATAGGTATAGGTTAAGTTAATCAAATTGTATCAGATTACTCTTTTTTTCCTCTTCTTTCTTCTTCTAGTTGAGCTCTGATCATCCAGTCATTGAAGCCAGTGGGTATTATATGCAAGTGTGGGTGTTCTTATGCATATACCCTCTCTTCTTATCAGCTGGACATTTCACTCTCCACTTTAGTCCCCTGTGGCTATGTCACTGACTCTGGGCCCAAGAGTCCCCAGGTCTTGCCACACTGTTGGCCAACCAGGTCTCCACCCGGGGCCACAGGAGTGTATTGAACGTTGTAAGGCTTAGCTTGCAGCTTCATTGCTGTTTTTCCCTTAATTCCTCGTACTGGTGACGAACGTGGTCACCAATCAGAGCGTGTATTCCCATTGAGTCTTTGTCTTGAAAGGGGGTTTGCTCTGAGGGAACCTGGCCACTTGCCTTGATGTCTCCTGGGCAAGCAACTTGCTTGTTCTTGTAGTAACTCCCTTTACTTTTTCTGTACCTTTCTCAAGTCTGTGCTGCTTCCACGCTGTAAAATAACTTTTTAAAAAGTTACCCATAATCCTTGCTGTTGTTAGGTGCCATTGAGTTGGTTCTGACTCGTAGCAGTTTTGTATCCCATAGAATGAAACACTTCCTAACCCTGCACCATCCTCACAATTGTTTCTATACTTGAATCCTTTGGTGTAGCCACAGTACTGTGTTAATCCTTCTCATTGAGGGTCTTCCTCTTTTTTACTGACCTTCTGCCAAGCATGATGTCTTTCTACATGGACTGGTCCATCCTGATAACTTGTCCAAAGTACATGAGTCAAAGTCTTGCCCTCTTCACTTCTAAACAGCATTCTGTCTATATGTCATCTAGGACAGATCTGTTTGTTTTGGCAGTCCATGGTGTATTCAGTATTCTTCTTCGGCACTGTAATTCAGGGTCATCAATTCTTTGGTCTTCCCTTCCTGACCGTCCAGCTTTTGTATGCATAGACAATTGAAACTATCATGACTTGGGTCTTGGACATCTTAGTCCTCAAGCCAGCATCTTTGCTTTTTAATACTTAAGTCCCTTGCAGCAGATTTGCCCAGTATAATATATGATTTGATTTCTTGAGAGCTCTGGTAGCGTAGTGGTTACGAATCGGGCTGCGAACCTTAAGGTCAGCGGTTCGAAACTACCAGCTGCTCCGCGGGAGAAAGATGAGGCTTTCTACTCCCGTAAGGATTTACACCCTCGGAAACCCTGTACAGGGTCGCTATGGGTCGGCACCGACTCGATGGCACTTAACAACAACAACAACTTCTATGGGTGTTGATTTTGGATTCAAATAAAATGAAATCTTTGATAACTTCAGTGTTTTCTCCTTTTATCATGTTGTTGCTTATTAGTCCAGTTGTGAGGATTTTTTTATGTTGAGGTGTAGTCCATATGGAAGACTGAAATCATTGATCTTTATCAGTAAACTTTATCAAGTCCTCTTTGCTTTCAACAAGCAAGGTCGTTTCATCTGTATATCACAGGTTGTTAATGAATCTTCCTCCAATTCTGCTGCTGCATTTTTCTTCAGATAATCCGGTTTCTCAGATATTTGCTCAGCATACAGATTAAGTAAGTATGGTGAAAGGATACAACCTTGATGCACACTTACTTGATTTCAAACCACAGTTCTGTTTGAACAAATTCCTCTTACTCCA